TGTGAAGAGTTAGTGGGGGGTGTTGGGGGGGGGGGGGGGGGGGGGGTGCGGTGTTAATACATTATCTGCCTGTGTCCCTGTTGAAGAGAATCCCCATTCGGTTTGTGTCCTGGTGACCACTGGACAGAAGGTAATTGGAAATCTGGAAATCTAAAATTTTACAGTTGTAACAGGAATAGCAAACCTTCCAATATGGACACCTATCACTATCGCCTGGTTACAACTAAAATAGTAATTGGACACGTTCTCTCTCATCCAAGTATTGGCTAAACACTTTCAAGAGAACCAAAATCATGCACATCATAGTATTTGCAAATTCTGTCCAAGCAGTAAAAAATAGGACTTTTGTACTCCCTTTAAATCCTGCTAAGAATCTATTAGGGGACAAAGCTTGATCTTAGGAAACCTAAAGAAAATCTCTACAATGACTATAGATACAGGAGGTTAATGAGGGCTTGTTTTAAAGTGTTTTTCACCAATCTATTAAGGGACACAGCTTGATATTAAGAAAGCTAGGTTATTCTGCTGCCTACAGAAGAAAGGGACACCAAGCGCATATAAAACTGAAGGTCATCCCCTTTGAGGCTATAACCCCTTTACATGCTCAGTTGTAGCAAGAAGTTCAAAAAAGATATCATACGAGTGTAGGGAGCTGTGTCCCTAAATGGATTCAGAGAAAAGGATTTTTCTCGATTGTCCATTAAGGGACACAATTTAATAGTATGAAACCTAGGGACGTCCAAAAACAGTCCAAACTAAGGGGCGGACAGACCGAAGCACAGGTGAACCACACCAACAAGAAAAAAAAACTCAAAAAAGGAAAAAACACAACGGCATTTATTAGCCGCTTGTAGAACCTTGCAACCAAACTAGCATCTGTGGAGGAAAATACTCCGACCTTGTAAGAACTAGAGAAAGTATGTACAGAAGACTAGCTTACAGAATACAAATGTGTGACATCGAGGCCTCATGTTAGGTCCAAGAAACAGTGACTGCGCTAGTGGATTGGCCTTTAAGAGGAAAAAAATCTTGTCATTCACTCAGAAACAGTTACTATAAAAGCCAAAGAAGCTCTTTTGGGACATTCTGAAATAACCTAAAAGGAATTGCGTCTAAAGAAGCAGTGGTAAACCCTGAGGGCCCTGACCACAAACAGGCAAAGGGCAATCTCCTTGGAGTGAACCAGCGATAGACACAGGGAAAGTAACAATATTCTCATTAACGTGAAAGGCAGAAACCACTTTGGGGAAAAAAGGGAGGTTTTTAGTCTCAAAACAAACTTATTTATGCAAGATCAAATGGGGCTCCTTACAGGACAATTGCTGATCACTTAGAAACCCTTCTAGCCAAAGTGATGGCTATGAGAAAGGCTACCTTAAAGATTGTAATCCTAAGGAGAGGTCTTAAACAAGTCAGAATGGAGACTTATGTAGCACTGACAATATTCTGTTTAAATTAAAACAGTTGGAGAGGAGGCCTAACGGAGGGTAATGTTGGTAACCTCTTCTTAAAAAAAAAGGTACAAAATCGGGGAAAAATAAGCAAGGAGACTTTAAAAAGAATGGACAGTGCAGACACCTGAAAGTTGATGATGCAAAGACCTAAATGCTGTTCTACCATCAACTGGAGAAACGAAAAACAAGGGAGACAAAAAACACACGGGGACATTCACAGGGACTCTCACCAGTGAAAATATGTCTTCCAAGAATGATAAACCTTTTCTCACAACCTGGGTTCCAACAGCCAAGCAGCCAGTTAGCAAACAAGAAGCAGGGTGGAAAATGAGTCCTTGAGAGAACAGATCTAGCCAATCTGGAAATTCTATGGAGCATCGGCTAACAGATGAACAAGGTTAGCATATCAAGTTCTCAAAAGGCCAATCCGCAGTATGTGAATGATTGGAAAGCTCTTGTCCTTGATCCTATGAAGTAAACCAAGTAAAAACTTAAGTGAGGAAAGCCCTCTGTCCAACATTAAGACACGGGAAGATGCAAAGCAAAGAATCAGGGTAGAGGGTGGGGGCAAAACATCTTGTATCCTTTAGATACTACCTCCTACACCCATGGATCGGCTATACAGGCTCCCCAAATCTCTGCAAAAGCCATCACACTTACCCCCACCTCTGATGGAAATGGTGGGGGGGTTGACCTTTACATGTTGGTGATGTTATTCTGCAGGCTTGGATCCTTTGGTTTGCGACTTAAGTTTAGACCCTCCCAAAGACAAGGAAGTCTAAAAACAGCATGTAGGTGGATGAACAAGAACCTGACTCGAAGGGGGCCAAAAGGAACATTTTGATGCAAGACAGGAAGATGCCACCCGAGTCATGTAAGAAAGCGTTGCCCGAGACATTACCTGGCTAGCATCTAGTGCTGTGTCACAAAGTTTAATGAGACAATCTGGTCAATGCAATCAATAAGTTGAGTCTGAACACCAGTAGCCTCCAAATCCACGCTTAGGGATTTTGACCATTCAGCCAAAGACAGAGATGAGTGCAGAGGTGAGAGCAGTGCCCACCAAGGTGTAAATGGAGCAAGAAATTGATACTATGTGTCAGTAGGTTCCTTAAAGGAAGGAGCGATTAGATCAGAACAGAGTCCAGAAACCATGTTAGGGGAAAACAGTGGAATCTTCCGAATTTTAGGGTGAAACATACTGCCACGATTAGAAAGGTGAGTTTCCTTTTGTTTTGGCAAACAGCTGACGGAATCTTCTTCTATAAAAAAAAAAAAAAAGGGAGGAAATAGTCCTCATCTGATATTGAGGTCAGCAAGACAAACTCTGCGTGCATTCCTGTGCACCCCAAGTCCAGTGCTACGTCAAGTCCAGAGAGAAGGCGAAGGGAAAATTAAAATGGTGGGGGCATAAACAGTGCCTGGCCACATGAGAAACAAGTTCTCACTACTCCCCTATACAGCCGAAAAGTGAAGGAGGGTTTTCATACCCAAAAATAAAGCCCAGCTTCTACAGGGGGGGGGACACTATATAAAAGAGTCCTGGGCAAACTAGAATACAGATGGATTGTTGCTGCTCTCTGCAGGACATCAGAGAGTATAATTAACAGGGAAAACCCGCTAATGAGACTTAAGACTTTTTGGCCTAAAATCGACCAGTAGCTGTTGTGTAGAAAAAAAAAATCTATAGCAAAAAAATCTATAAAAAAAGAATATATAGCAGAAGAGAAGGAAACATACATTCTCCTAAGGACAAGTAGAACTTGGCAGGTGAAAGAATATAGCCTCAAGGGAGTTGACCTTCAGTTTTTTGGTAAGTAAGAAGACGTGCTGGCGCTGACTCGAGTATAAGCCGAGGGGGGCACTTTTCAGCCAAAAAAATGGGCTGAAAATCTCGGCTTATACTCGAGTATATACGGTACCTAGTGTCCATTTCTCCCATAGGCAGCAGAGAAACCAAGACTTCTTAATATTACGTTTTTTCCGCTTATCTACCTACCTAGTAAGTAGCTTTTCATTGGCTAAAAATAATTAAAGAGCTCAACCCTAAAAAGCACACACAAAAAAAAAGCCTGACACTCAACCCCAACTGTGAATGGGGTCTAAAAGCAGCAAGAGAGGTCAGGGATTACTTTTTTTCTTCCCAAAGTTTTTATTGAAAAATGTTTTCATTAGCAATATAAATGAAAACAAAAGACAAGTACAAATAGGATGGGACAGTCTCCCCTGGGATGGCTTGTTTTAAAGCCCTTTTACTGCTCGTTAAGAATATGCAATTAGTTTTAAAAAAGCTTCATCTGACCTAACCTTTGATTTTTACCTTCGTAATTTTTCCATTTTAACTTTGTTGTGCCTCTTCATGTAGCAACAAAATCAAGTACATTGGATACATCGCTTGTTTACAGAAATGGGCACACATCAGAAATGAGCATGGTGATGATGGATATTTAGTTTTTGTAAGGGAAATGAACTGTAAAAGTCCTACTAGTAATTTTTAGTAGGGATATAATATTTCAAGACCTCTTGTGCAAGACTACCACAGACTTTAGTTTTCCCAAAATCAAATCAGGTCCTTTCCAAGGACACACAAGGTTGATAGCAATAATTTATTAAAACTGGCCTCCTCACCTTGTTGGTTCTCATCTCTAAGAAATCCAACATGATCCTCAGGAACACTTTCTTCCTCTCCTGGGGGAAACCAGTAGTTAGAAATCATGGACTCTTAACTGAACTAACTATAATGGTCTCTAATGTACAGAGCAGACCACCACCAAGCAGACCTCTTCCCAAACCACTCAAAACAGATTTAATTTGTTCCTGGTAATAAATAGGCTTGATAAAATTTGACAAATTGAGCAGGGCCCAAAAATTGCACGGTATGTGACAGATGTGAGTATTGTGCCACTTATGGGTTAAAGAGCAAAAGCTTTCAAATTTGAGAACACTGGCAGACCCCAGTGGACTTGTGGTTTTACATGGCCAGCCTGATGGCATACTATTAAAATCATATCCCAGGAGCAATTAAACATGAAAAGCGCACAGCAAATCAGATTTAAACCCTAAAACATATACAAACTATATTAAAATATAAAACTTGTTTTTAATTATCTCAATACTATGGTGGTTATAATATCCAGACCACAGATTTAAAATTAGGTGCTGACATGCATAGCTCATTTTTAATTCCATTAACAGGGAGAACAGAGTGAAGCCGGCACCAATTACATGTAATTTTATGCCACTGTCAGCATTACCACCAACAAAACCTTCACAAATCAATCCACTTATGCCGTCCAGAATATTGGGGTGTAAACCATATAAAAGATGGGACCAATTCAAAAACATGAAGGGTAAATTGTATTCTGTATCACTAAAGAAATCGCTTTTAAGATCACAGGGGCAAGAGAGCCCCTGGGGTTGTGGTAAGAGGCCCAAGTTGCACAATGTTACAGTCCTGTTTTCATTCGGTTCTAGACGTGACAAGTGAGATGTTTCACTTTATAGATTTCTACTTCAGCCCATAGATGGCCCATTGCAGAAGAGCTACTAAACCGGTTTGCAAACAGTGTTTAAAGGGGAACTATAAAAGGGTTTGGGTTAATTTTGTAAGCATATGTTTTCGGCTGTTTTAAATCTATTTTTCATAAAAATATTTTACAAATTACATGGGGGCACCCTCATCACTGGTGTTTCAGAACATAGAAGCAGTTTGCTTTCAGAAGGTCTCTAAGTGAAACTCTGTGAAGAGCACTACACAGCAAAAAATGACTCTTCTGACTTTCATTCTGCATAACTTTGGACATCTAAAGACATCTATACTTTATTTTTAGGTAAAGCAATAAAATTTGGCTTGGAAAACGTGTTTGCTTGATATTCATAAATATGAAATATTCTTATTTGTGCGCATCTGGGAAACCCTTGAAAACCAAAAAGGTTTAGATGACATTTTAGACATTTCTATGGACATTTCTAACTGCAAATGCCCCAAAAAAGCCAATTTCATGTAGTTTGTAATGACAATGACACATTAAGATCATTTACAGTCTGCAAATGGATGATGAAAATGCTTATGAACATTAGATCAGCAACTAAAATATCAAATTTTTTTTGCAACTGGTTAAAAAAAAAACCATCAATCCTGCAAATAATTTCTATACAGCACACCAAAAAGGAAAGTAGCCTGTACTTAAGAGGAAAATATATTCCATTTCAAAACCGAATGCCTTCACTACACTCACAGCATTGTGTAATTGTGACTAGAACATTATCTGCTATGACAATTCAACTAGTTGTTCATGCTTCTAATTTGCCTTCGACCTGAAACTGAAAGGAGAATTCAAATACTTGGCTATATTTGAAATAAGCAAAATGTCATTGTAAACCGTAAGCTGCATTATCTGACCTAGCTGCTTTTTGGTCTATAAACTGCAAAAGATTCTGGATTTCTGAAAAATTTCCTTTAGGCTGGGTTCACACCGGGGCGTACTATGGGCGTGTTTTTTTCTGCACGTTTAGCACGTTTTGTCGTTCAGTGAAACACGCGTTTTTATACCTCCTGGCGGTATGATTTTTTTCCCTTTATTTTTTCTATCTTTTTTGCGCGTTTTTTTTTTTAACTTTCAAACTTCCCGCCGGTTACGCCCCCCTGCGACACGGACGCTCGCAAGGGACGGAACCCGGAAGACGGCCGCAGGACACATTGGGGATCGCAGACAAGGTAAGACCTACGCTGTATTCCTGAGTGTAGCTCGGGGGTTACCGCTTTGTTAACCCCGAGCCACACTCGGGAATAACAATGGATACGCGCTGAAATACGCCCCCAAAGACGCTCCTGTACTTGTTTTGTCATAGGACGTTTTTGAGCGCATTTCCATGGGCTGAAATACGCCCAGGTGGGAACCATGCCCATTGGAAAGTATGGGATTTCACTTGCTGAGCGTTTTTCAGTGCTTTCGATCAGCCCTGAAAAACGCCCAGGTGTGAACCCAGCCTTCAACGATTGTACAACTTAAATGGGCAGAACAACTTTCAGAATTCAGACTTTTATTTTCAAGTCTTAAACCCCCAAAATATGCTAGGTCTCCAAATATTCAATGAGGGAAATTACCTAATGTTTACATTCATATAAGCTATATTACCTGGACAAAAACAGAACAGTTGCTAAACATCACCTCCAGGTAATATCTGAAATCAAAGAATCCAGTTTGGAATGCCTAAAGGACTATTTGCACAACAATGCAACAAACCTTGAAGCCTGTGACACTGCACGAGAAGCAGCACGAAGCGGCGGTGCGTTGATCTTCACGTGTTGTGTTATGTAATTTTCACTCTGGTGCATCAGCTTGCGGGAGCTCGCATAGCTGAGCGTGCAGAGATGAAAAATGACATCTTCAGATGCCAAACAATTCGTGAGTATAAACCTGAAAGTCAGGATGGAAAGTCCATTCAGTTGTAAAACAGGAAATCCATCCGTGGCCACATTATATGGGGCTTCTCGGTCAGGAGTACTCTATTTCACGGTGTCCATTCAGTTGTAACGCTCGGGCCAATTAGCTGTAGATGGTCTTTCATCTGGCCTCGTTCAGCTCTCTCACTGCATGCGAACGTCCGTGTCTCAGCTTTGCACAGCTTCGCATGCAGTGCGCCACAGGCTTTATGCACTTTATTGCTACAATATGGATGCAGCTAAACAAATATGAAGCAGAAAGTATGCTACACACATGGCTCTTCTAGTGATGAAAGTTTGTGTGTGTGCAGGGAGTTTATGTTAAGGCCTAGTGTACTCCTGTGCAACAGCATACAGTTCGCCTTTGACCATCAGCTAATAAAAGTATAAGGCTGTGTTCACAGGCTTGTACAGAAAAAAGCTCCCAAAACCTGCGGCAGCCACCTCTTTTTGGGAGAAAAAAAAAAACTCAGTTGCCATTTAGCATCTTAGAACACATGCAGTGTGAATTAAGCACAAGAAAGACCATAAGAAAGCAATGTGATGTATTTTGACTGCAGCAGTCAAATAAACAGACTGCATCACAACTGCATATGGTGTGAACTGGCCCTAACAGGAAAAATTGCAAAGTGCAGTTAACTATGGCAACCAATCAAAATCCGTCCTCTAAAATGCAACTTCAGTAACAAATCTGGCTGGTCGCCATAAGTTACTAGCCTTTTGCCAAACAACTGCACTTAAAAGGTTTCAAAGAACAGAGTATTAACTCCTATGATTTGCTAAAAAAGGACATGCATTAAATCCATGTAAACCAGTAAAATGTAAAAAAAAAAGAAAAGGTTAGAGTTAACCTTACCTGTAATTGGAATTAATTTCCAGTTCATTTCAGTCTCCACATTGCTGGAATTAGAATTTGGCTGCTGATAGATTTCTTCAGTAGGTGTGCTAGGACAAGGACTGGCATATCCTGAATATGGCCCCTGTGCAGAGAGGGAAAAAAAAGAAAAAAGTCTCAGTTGGCTTAACTTTATACACAGCAATTTGGCTGCAGTGCTAAGGGGGCCGACGTCACCTGAAACCTGACAGTAGCTGCCTTTCAACTGCCTGACTTTATATATTGCACACACAAGATCTGGGAGACCGCAGGTTTGGGACAGGCTTCAGATGACCACTGACCCTCTCAGTAAAGGCAATACCCATATTCCTATCCTGACAGATTCCTTCCAAAATTGATGCAGACACTGCATCATCGCTAAGAAAAAAAGCACTAGAGACTTAAAAGGAGAATTTTGGGGAGAGTGAAATACACTCATCCCCATAATTAGAGCCGACGTACAACACTGCAGCTGTCACACGTCTGCTCTGTTAACCGAGAACTAAGCGATCACATACTGCTGTTTGCTCAGTTCCTGATCTTCTTGCAGAGAAGTCACCGCTCCCACACAGGGATTTCCACCACCCCCCTGTTCCTCCAGTGCTGACTATGGGGCAGGCACAGCTGGCTCTAGAGAGGCAGAGTCAGCAATCATGTGGCAGGCTGGATCTCAACAATGTCGTTGGGATCTTTCCCGCCACTGTGCTCTCAGCATATAGCGGGCAATAGCCAGCCATATGCTGAGTTTTGGGTCACAGGAAGACATAGTAAATAATGACCCTAAAGAGAACTATGGCCGAAAAGGGTTGGACTATATAGTTCTCTTAACCATTTATCAAGAATTTCTGGAAAATAGGTCTGAGGGACACAGTTCTGAAGAATTCTGGTACGTAGGGTTATGCTGCTGCCTTTCAGAAAAACGGACACTAGGCAAACAAAAATAAAAGCCTACCACTTTAAGGACATAAGCCCCTTCCACCTCACAACAACTAGTTGTAGCAAGCAGTATATAAGGAAATGAGGGGAGGAAGCTGTGCCCGTAATGAATTCCAAGAAAAGGATTTTACAGGAAGAACAAAATCCTATTTTCGCTATCGTCGATTGAGGGACACAGTTCTGAAGAATTCTGATATGTAGGGACATTCAAAAGCAGTCCAAACAGAGGGGTGGCCATCAAAACAAAGAACCAGTTCAATAAGAGGAACTGTAAAAATACATTTAACTGTAAAAATTGATCTACCAACAGATTACCAAATCCGTAAACCACACCCTGCAATGCCAATCTGGAATGACCGGAACACGTTAGTGGAGTAAAGGTATACATTTGGGTGTACTGATCCCACGGAGCTACCCAGGTATCTCTCTTTGGATCCCTTGCTCCTGACACAAATTTGCCCACCTTGCTGTGAAGAAAAGATAGAAGATCCACATTCAGTGTTCTGCAGCACTGACTAATTTGTTGAAACACCTCTGGATGAAGACCACTCTCCCAGATACAAATATCTGCCGAGAAAGTCCGCCGCCAGTTGTCTACTCCTGGAATTCCAGAACATTTATCTGAAGCTTTGATTCGTCCGGAGACCAACAAACCTGCACAGACAGATGATCCAGTATACCGCCTCATCCCACAAGACTGGCATCCATCGTGACAATTCTCCAAGTTAGCAGAAACGACTTTCCATCGTCAATGCAGGGGTGTCGGACCACCATGACCGACATCCTGGCCGGTGCACTCAATTTGCTCATCCTGTCCAGCAATAAAGGAGACTTGTCCCAAGCTGTATGAATGTTCTCTGTAAAGGTCTGGAATGGAATTGGGCAAAAAGAATTGCTTGGAAGGTCGATACCACCAGACCCAAATCTCTTATGCAACTTCAATACTTTGTTCTGAGGAAGAAATACCTTTGCTTGAAAAAGGTATCCAACAGGAGACTCAACACTCCAATCAATATGATGGAACCACGGACAATTTCTTGATGTTCAGAACCCACCCAAAGTTCTCCAAGGTCTGCAACATTGTTGAGACGTTGAGCTCCAGACTTAGATGACCTTTTACTTTGTGAACAGTCTCGTCTAAGTATCAAATAGTTAGAATGCCCTTGTGACAAAAGAGCCCCAGAACTGGAGCAAGAACGTTTGTAAAAACCCTTGGAGCCAAAGCTAGACAGAAAGGAAGAGCAACAAATTGATAATGAAGGTCACTTACAGCAAAGTGAAGAAAACGCTGATCTGGAAAAAAGAGAATGTGTAGATACTAGAAATGCAGCGAAATGAAAATTTTAAAACTGAAACTAAACCAAAATGAAAAAAAAAACGGTCGGGCCGAAACCGAAAATGTTTTTTAACTTTTTCAAATTTTGAAAAATATTTTTTTTTAATTCATTTTTTTTTATAAAACTTATTATTTTTTTTACAATTTATCTCTATTAAAATATTTTTATTTTTTACTTTACTTTTAGGTGCTTCAGGGAAATATTAGGGGCAGGGCTTGAAAAATGTCAGTGTCTCACCAGTCAGCATAACCGGACTATAGCCTTGCTATTTATGTTAAAAAAGTTTGGGGACAGATAGAGCTTTCTTTTGGAGGTACATAATCACCACGGGGGTATTTTTCTTTACTATATAATTAAAAAAGTACCATAAATGTAAAAAAAAAA